TGTCACACCTAAACAAAAGGATTTGTGCACATATTTCAACATGTATTTCGTTCAGCGCCCCCCGCCGGAGGGCTTTGCTCTGCCTCTTCAACTCCCGTCCTCTCCCGCATTCTGAAAAGCCACTCTCGTACCCCCTCAGCAAATCTTTTTGGATGTCTGCGGATTCCGCTCGAGTGTCTTGGCAAGACGGAAGCGCAGATGGCCCGAGGACCCCCAAATCCAAGAACACAAAAACACTCACTTGTCTTCCACGGGCCAATATGTCCGTGTGTGTGTCGCATTCCTGTCAAGATAAAAAGATAAAACGGAGTAAGCCGATCAACACGGACCCAGTCGATCAAAGGTGGAATTGTGCGAGATTCAATCTCATTGCCGGAGAAGTGCCCGCAATGCATTGCGGTGTCACTCAACAACTTTGCGGCAACCAAAATTGGCTTTGTTGATTCATGTGTGAATCTGTGTACATTCGTAATGCCACTGCAAAACGCCATCCGAACAAAGGAATGACCGTGATGAACAATCAATCTCGATTTCGTCATGAGTCACTTGCGGCGGCGCCAGTTGAGTGGCAATGAAGTGTGAAAGCAGCACGAGATAAAGACGTTTTATTTATCGCCCGAAGCCATGGCCTTCCGAAACGCATGCCGCCGTTGCGACTTCCCTCTCATTTCGGGGGGGGGGTAATCGGCCTTGTTTGGAAAAGCAGCACGTCTCCTCGCCTCCTTAATTGTCAAATCACAAACACATCTTCGATCCTCCAGAAGCTGCGGGAAGTCGCGCTTCTCGGACCGCCCTGTGATTGGCCGCCTGAGTGACAGGGGGCGTGGCTTTCGTCTTGGGGCTGAACAAAACCAGCCGCTTCGCCGGCGCTCGCACTCCTTCTACGGATCGACGTGGCTGACGCGCCCGAAACTCGTTTAAAAACCACCCCCCTCCCGGTCGAGTTGTGATTGGAACGCCTTTGGGAGCTGCAACTTTGCTTTCGGAGCGAGCCATCTTACCTGAGCGGACGCGTGCGTGTGTCCGTGTGGGTGTGCACGCTTCGGTGCGGTCCGCCATGGATTTGCTTTGGATTGTCGGCTTGCTGGTGTGCGTGTGCGCCCGCTTGGCTTCGTCCGAGCGCCACAGCGTCTTCTGGAACAGCACGAACCAAAAGTAAGTCCACTCTGCTACCGCCACAGTTGACGTGATTTTTTTTCAACTTTTTTTTTTTTTTTTTAACCCGCACCTCCTCCCTGCATATGCAATGAATTTGTGATGCGAGCAATTCGGCTGCTGTTGTTATGATAATGCAAAAGCTGGAGGGAGCCCATGCACCCCCCCCTCCTCCGCCCTTTTGAACCTGTTATTATTATTGTTATGGCACACTTGCGCAATGTGGGATAA